AAGCATGTGTCACTGTGAAAAAAGTGTTTAAAAAATATTAAAACAATTTACCAGAATAATGAAATTAAAAATACTACTTATTGACATTTTTTGGCAATCGCTCTATACGGTAATATGATTTACTTAGTATATGACTTTATTATTACTTTTATTACCTTATTTGTGATTATATTTTCCTGTTTAGTAATTTATTGCTAGTTGCATGTTAAAAATTAAAATATTAAATGATACATTTAAACAATGTCTTGTTGCTAGGCTATTATTTAAAAATCAAAAATGCAGGTAATTTCTATGGCACGGCTTTCATATAGTAATCATATGGATTGAATAAAATCTAAACATTTTAACGATGAAAAATGATTTTACAGGAAAAACAATCAAGCCTCGTGAAATAGTCGGACAGATTTTTTTTTTTTTTTTTTTGAATGGAGAAAACTTTATTCAGGTCACATTTTACTCTTATTTTTGAATTAACTTAAAACAATGGAAAAACACATTTTAAAATACACAATCATTTGTGATGGATGTAGACGTTTATTACAACTTCTGAAAATTGAGTTTTTCAAATCATAGTCCAATCTTACCTGTATTAAGTCTTTCATTTTTCAAATAAAGAATTAAATGATCAAAATCTGACTATTACACGAAGGGTGAGAGTTTTAACTGTTAGGTAAGTTTAATGTAGATAGGCGCCAACTCATTTAAAAACAATATGGTTGATATAAAAATCAAAAAATGCTCACAAAATTCTACTCTTTTCGTTTGTTTTCTTCGATTATTAAAAACAAAGTTCATCATATTGCAGTACAGTCAATAGCACCTTCATTCCACTTAAAAATTTTAATTACAACTTAATGGTATATGTATACCTATGTAAGTATAAATATATGGAAATATATATGCAGGTATGTTAGTGAATGGTTGCCAAAAGTTTATATAATACAAGATAAGTCTGAAACCACAATTATCAAATAATCTATATTTTATAGGACACAACTTTTTATGAAATAATGGAATTTTAATATAAATTTAAAAATATACATTTTAGAACCATAGCAGACTAATACATATAGTAAAGTTAACAAAATATTGGGTTGATATAGTTTTGGAAAGTTTTAGTCATAGTTATATCAAGATGATAAGTGTATGCATTATATTATCATATAAACATAATAATAACATACCAGAAAATATTTCACAAAAAGTACATTAACGGTAACATCTTGAATTTCGAAATGAACTTAAAACTAAGAAATACGTATTAATAATGCATCGTGTAAAAAATAATCCAAAACGTATATCTTTAATGGTTCCCCGGAGATAATGTCTGACATAAAAAAAAAAATTCAATGTCCATCACTAGGTCCTCGCAAGGGAAATAATTCACACACAATTTAGTCCGCGATATAATGCATTACGACCCATTACATTATTATAATATAATGTTTCGAAAGACATGAATGCCTAAAATGGCCAAGAATAATATTATCAACGATAAGCTCGCCGGCCTCCATAGCCATATAGCCACTGTTGTGTCCAAAACATTCGCAAAATGTCCGACGGTGCAGCATTAATATTAGCGAAAGCTCAACCTCGACGGCTCGTTCCACGGGGTAATTAGCGTTTTATCGCTCTGTTCGGATGAAACTTCCGGAGGAACTTATTCGACGCGATGTTTGTTACATGCCACAGATTATTATTATATAGGTAACAAGTCAGCGCAAAAGTAGCAATAGTGAATTATTGCCGTAGATCTGAATTCAATGACAAAATAATATAACCGTAGCACTCGGCGGATAACGATACACAAATCGCATGCCACTTGCAGCCGTGATTTATTCGATAACATTCGTGGGTAGTTTTTCTTCACGCTCGGGAACCTACGCACGCCGAGAAAATCGAAAAACGACATCGTCTGCAGCGGTGCCCCGCGATATACGTTTCACTTATAATAATTCAGAATCTGACTTTTATAGTATCATAGGTACCTATATGTCACCCTTTTTTTTCTTGGGAGGGGGGGGGGGTCGCTTAAAATAATTTATTTACAACAATGTACAAATCTTCAGCAGTGTACAATAGGTAAAACTGATCTTACCACACTAAAATGTTTACACAAAAGGGGTCGTTGTGCCACCGAACGATAGTTAATAATTCAACCGTCTGAACTACTTATAATAGCTAGGTATCTTATAATTATTTTACATACTAACCAATTATTATCATAATGCACAGTGCGCAGTTAATGTTAAATAGTATGAAATATATAATAAATATAGTGTTATTGTAAGATGGTATAATATTAAATGATCATCTGAACTCTTGTGGATTTTCTCAGTGATTTTTGATGAACAGAAATTTACCTACTCGAGTATATTGTATATTTTATACTGTGATTTATTTTTCTGGTAGACGTGTATTCGCGTACAATGCGTATGATGATACGAACAAAAATAAATCACAAGTCCGCATACTGTACTTTATTTGCAGTGTCCAAACCCAACCGACGTACTTTGATACGTAATATTTTAATGTACAATCCCTTACGTGCTCCTGAAAAGCGAACGTTTTAGATTTACGTGCGCGTTTACCTAGAAGGCACAGATTTTTGGCTGAGGTTGTAAAAAGCGTGCCTTCGCATTAAATAGACATATTTTGTAAACGGTACGACGCCGACCCTCGCTGAAAATCGCTACTAGGACGAAAAATCGTTATCGGTCTGGGTCGTTGTCGCGACGAGACTAGGGTTTTCCTGCTTGGACAGCTTTTGTAATTATAATGATAATATTGTATCACCGCACAGACAGGATTAATTTTTGTGTTCGATAAAATGCCAAGGACACGACGATATATTATTATGTTTCTATATTATGCACTTCAAATTTTAGAAAATGTGTTAGGGAATTTTAACAACACGAAATGTATTGTGGTAGCTTATCGAGATAATATTATTTACTAATATAATTTCGTCACAGACATTTGCTAACGTAATTTGTTATGCCACGATAGAATATTAAGATTAAACTGTACACCAACATACCAGCTGTCACGGAATTCGTAAGATTAGACGAAGGAAGTTTAACAAAAAATGCAATTAACATTTTTTCATTCCTATATTTTGTGAATTATCTTAATATATAAACATAATTTTTTCTTAAAATAAACAGAAAAAAATAATATTTTTTTAGCACTCATTTACATAACAAAAAAAAAACGAAATTCGTACCCTATATTATTATATTATTGAATAATAGGTATACATCATAATATTATATTATGTATATTACGTATACAGTGCGGAAAGGTGGCCAATTCCGGCTCGCATAATTACAGTGAATTACCGCTTCCCGTGCTAAGTCAACACAGACAACTGAAAATCATAGTGACCTATCTGTACAGTATTGAACCACAAATCTGATGTGGACCGAATAATTTGTCAGCACGATGGCTATTGCGTATGCCTACTATATAATCGACAGCGTATATTATATAATCAAATATTAATGAGTACGTGGTACGTGTAGGTACTCAAATACAAATACATCAATTGTGTGTAAGGTATACTATACAGGGTCTTACAAATTGCGTATGGTAAAATTGTTGGGAATTATGATGGTGCCTACTCAATCACCACACTGTAGAAGACACTCATTATTATTACAAAAACTATTGACATTATTAAAATATATTTTTTCTTACATATTCTTGAGTGTTTTAGAAGCCTAGTAATTGTAAAAATATGTCTTACTACTTTTATGAATGACAATATACATTTTTAATTTCGTATTCAGAAGCAAAATATTATTTAGAGTATTTCAATCTAATATTTCAAACTAGTGTAGTTGATTATAAGTTAATATAAGTATTTTAAGTTTGGATGAGAGGGTGGTGGATCAACATTGTGTATTTGTGTGGGATACTTCTGTACCTCATCTAATCATAGAATATGACGTTTAACTCATAATCTACTTGTTCAAAATTTGGTTAATCCAAAAAATATATTATCTTACGACTTAAATAATATTTTCTAAAATGTTAAAATTTTCTAAAAAATTAAGTATCTTACATTAAATATATAATATTCTCTATACCTAGTTATTAGTTTATTATTTTTTCGTTATTTTTATTTTTTTCATTAGCTTCAACCAAAAGTTACTGTAGCTCGACAATTAATCGAATGACAAACACTTATTGGTTAACCTAACCCTGGGATACATGTCTAGTAAACCAGAATTTCAATATGCAATGTCTTTATTAAATCAAAAACGAGAAAAATAACTCGATCCACGATGACATTAAACGCACGATAAAGTAACAAGGTCGTATGTTGACATTTTTTCCATATTCGATGGATTGCGCATACGAATGTTAGAGGTGCGCTGTTCTGATTGGCTGGTAAAACGTATGTTATTTGTATAATACCATAATATAATAATGTTTAGCTATACGATAACCTCACAGAATGGCCCGATGCCAACATCACGAATTCGTACCACATAAATGTCATATACCGTAACATTACCATGCCGTTATGTTAATACAGTGGATCGTCGATAGCTGGAATGGGTGGGTGACAACAATTAGAGCAATAGAAACATTGGTATTTACCTCCCTCCATAGATATTATTGAAATCCATGGGATAAAGACCGAGAACTAAGAATGTGGTAACATAATATTATAATGGACTAGAAACCATAGAAACTAGACCTTATACTACTAGACAAGCAATGAGCGTAACAACATAGATGTAATGTATATAGATAAATAGATTATTGCATTTTTTCGTGTAGACAGCCTACATCACTGCTAACCTAACCAGCCCACATGCTGTTGTTTTACTCAGTTCTTGTATAGTAGTAGTTTAAGATCTGTGCTGGAAACGAACAGCTTATCAGTGGCTACGAATGTATGTACAACAGACGAGTGTGAAGGGGAGGAGGGGTGTCACACTGGGCTCTGAGAATTTACAAAGTCATCTGTATAAAACACGGACTGAGATACAAAATGTGACGCCAAATAAAACCACTGGTAGCGCTGAAAACATTCCCATGTTCAGTACTTCAGTGTGAGGAACCTTTTAGTGGCCGTCCCCCGTCCCCCACCGACCATGTCGTTTCCAGACCATTATATCTTAAACCAGGGGTTTCCAAACTTTTTCATTCGAGGGCCACGTAAAATATCAAAAGCTCTTGGAGGGGCCAAAGTGTATGAACACATATAAGTCGTTCAGATCGTACATTAGGATAGTGCCAATTGACACCTCGTCCTTTGCCTCTCCGTAGTTTGGAGACCCATGTCTTCGTTCGTGGTCAAGACATTCCTTCGAGTTATCGAAAATTCTACTAATAGACGTTCGAGTTAACGAGGTTCCACTTTATATTATTCGATTCTTGCAGTATAAAATGTTTTCCAACGTGTGCTCCTCAGTTCTCGTTATATAATTATCGTCGAGACAATATTACGATTACGTTTTTCTCGGTAATCGGTATGAAGAAAGGTTTTACGGAATTTCAATCCGAAAGCCTCGTTCTGACGAGCTCGTCTATAAATAGAATGATTGAAGGGTTTTCCACGAATCCAGTTTGTGCATACTTTGTATGGAACAGAACACGGGACCGATCGCTTCAGTCACACAACACGGGACCGACCGGTACCTTATACGATAAATAATATCTCTACGGTTGGCATTTATTCATTTATGATATTATGCGATTTTGTTATTGTCTCTCCGTTGTAGTGCGTGGCGTATACGACTTGGCTAATAATACGATATTGATAGTGTTATAAAATCTCATGAAATATTTGATTTTGATGAAAAGTAAAATAATCATATTTTAATTTAAAACTATAGAGGGAAGTACAGTTAACGCCTCTACTTATTTAAATTTTAAGTGAAAATGTTATAGAAATATTGCTTATATTATACTTTCAATAAATTACATAATAATTATTCTAGTGTCTACCTTATAATTATATTATAATATTATCTTCACTACATCGTGATTGAGAATTAAATATCGGATAATCACTAATCAGGTATGAAATCAGTCAAATCATATAGTCTTATGAAACAAACCAAAAAACATAAAATTAAAATTGAAATCAAAAATATTTAACCATCGCTAATTTAATTATTACCCGATATAATAAAACAATTGTACATCAATTGTAATTGGTGCATACATTTGAAATATATTATCGGCGAAAAGTGCGCGTTTAATTCACTAAGTTTTTTTTTAGATCTAAATAATGTTCTAAAATATATCAATCACTAATCAGCAACAATTAAAAAACAAATTAACTGTCGCTTTCGAGTGTACCTACCTATAATATTCTACCTCGTCTTTGATTAAGTACTGAGTAAGCCACTGTAATGAATAAAACTAAAAAATAATTTGTAACCTAGTCATGATTTGAACATCAAACGGTTGTAAAAAAAAATTATGACGGACGACAGTATCTTCGATGTTCATGACTGTATGTGAATAACTTGTGAAAATTTGTATCAATAAGACTTAGTTTAATATTCAAGCCTATTAACCGATAAAAAAAAAAACATTTTATTAGTATAAATTGAAATAAACTTAAAAAAATCGAAAACTTTGAATGTCTATAATAAGTAGGTATCTCAAAAGAACCATAATATTTTTCAAATTATGTCATGTCTAGAAAACGCAAATACAAGTTAAATAAAGTAAGTTATAAGTTATATAAATTCTGGACCGTATTCTTGTATCTACGATGATTACTGATTGAATATAAAAAAAATTATAATTATATTTTTGTCAAAAATTGGTGTTGCGTAAATATTTTTTATTGAACATTTTGTACCTTTTTTTCTCAATTATTTAAAAAATATTACTAATAGATCTACCTATAACCACCATATATGTTCAATGATAAGTAAGTTTAATAAGGCGTGCCATTGTTAAAATTTATATTTTAAATATTTCTGTTGCTTGTAATACGATAATATGCTTATAATATCATATACAAGTATAAGATTTTAAAACAAAATACTCAAATTATAACAATATGGAAACATATATTTATTCCATGATAACTTACTATTTAAAGTTGTTTAAATATTATCATATACGTATGTATATATATATTATATCGTATACAAATCGCACAATGTAAGATTATGGCGGACCTGGACATTTCGCCGCCGACCGATTCGCCGCCGGACGTTTCGACCCAGATTATGGTATGTTACGGACTTAAGGCATTGCATGTAAATTTAGCTGGTGGACATGATTTTTATCAGAAAACTGATCGAAATTCGACCATAGTACCATATTATCAAGTATTAAGATGATTAATATATTATTAGACTTATAAGATTCGTTAAAAATATATCACTTATCAGGGTAAGCTGTATAATTTTTTGGTTTACAAATTACAATTGAAAGCTACATTTTAAACGTCAATATTAATTAAATTATTCTTCCCTCATGTTTCATTAATTTTGGCTCGGTCATTATAATTTTTTTCCCAGTATTGGTTGTGTTATAATATCATATAAATTTACTGTTCCTTATTTTATTCTTCTATTTTATGAAAAATATAATTTTGTGTTCGTCTCCTTCGCAACTTTTAATCTTGTATAAAGTTGTTTTCTTAACTTTTTAATCTATTTTTAAATACGTTTCATATTTTGTTTTTATGCCAACTTCTTATCTACTCCTCCATTTTTATTTTGACACTGTCACAATAAATATTTTTTTTACCTAACGAGGTACTTATTTAATTCATGAAATAATCCATACATATGTTTTATACGACACTCAAACTTAAATAATGAACTCGGTTTCTATCCGTCGATTATTTTTTGAGTAATGTTTTTAATTTTAATCACGAATTTCACTATACGTCTAGAGGTGTAATTATACACTTCTAAGTTTTGTATGTGCTTACTAAAAATTAAACAAGAAAGATTATTATTACCTACAGCGTAACTAGAGTTGGTTATCAAATTCACCGGCTTCGAGCTCACGAACTCTGTGTTTCCGTTGTAATAGGTATAATAATAAATCGTATCATCGCTACATCGCCTCAGTTTATTACTGTTACAATTTATCAAGACAGATTATATTGTTTAGTTTAAACTGTTTAATGACAAACCTTACATTTTGTAAGATTATTATCTATTATAATATACGAGATAAAACTGTCAATTCGGCATGATAATACACATTTCCCACGGGGTTTGAGTAAAGTAGAAAAATATCTTCAGTATTTTTGAATTGACCAATTTGACAAGATTGCCTGTCGTTTTAGCCATTGTTTCCAAAAAATAAATAACTCATCTGTTTAAGTTACTATTTACATAAATTAGATATAACAATGAATTGGCCATTTCAGAATTGTTTAGAAAACACGAAAACGACGGTAAATTTGTTTTTTTACTTTGAGTTAAGTTGAAAAATACTTTAAATTAAAAATATAATCGTGACAATCTTTTAATGGTCATACATAAATAAGTTTTCAAAACATTAATTAGAAAAAAGTCATGGACTGTTGTGAGACACCTTGACATTATTTTACGATGGTAAATGGAAATTTATAATGGACATTCATATCAATACATCTATTAACTTTTCTTAGAATCACGACAGCAAACATTTTACTGTGTTGTTTTCAAAAAATGTCTATGAAATAACAACGGTTCATTTTATCTTCAAAAATCTTAAATTATAGTTTTTATTTTTATTTTAAATTTAAATAATCGGGTTTGAAGCGTGTTTATAAAACACGAAAACCGAAAATAGACGGCGCTATCGAAATAATATTTTGCCGTTGTCTTTTCACAAACATTAAACTCGCTGCGTTCGTCACACAATGTATAAAGTTTAAAAATTGAAATGAATTCATTAGAGTTAATTCGGCAGAAATTTTATCCGAAATATTCGCGGATTTTATGCAAAAACTCGTTAGCGCACTGCGTTAAAGCGACGTAGTAGCGAACGACAATAATTATTATGTAGTCAGTGTATATTATAATATGATATAAAGTTGTTTGTCTGAAATTGTTGCTCGTGAATTAATGTCGCCGAAAATGTTTTTGACAATAAACTGTTGGGATCTATGTATTAAATATATAACCGCTTTTAATTTATATATCTATATTCTATATGAATCTTTGAGTCTCGAATCATTTTCATTAAATTTCCGGTAATGTTTATTGAGGGTTTGGCCGATAACTTAAGTGAAGAAAATGCTGGAAAGCTATTATATTTTCGTCAGTGGATTTAAAACGTCAAGTTATTTACTCGATTAAGTGTCCGTAAATTGCGTATGGATAGCGAATACGCGTACCTATACCTATATCTTATAATAATTAAAAATCGACTCGTTTCAATCCCAATTTCCGTCGTCGCGACTAAATCGGTAGGTGTATTAACATTTCTCAAAGCGACACTTTTGTTATTAATAATTACAACCGTGTAATAGATTTTTCGAAAAAGCGCTTCGATAATTTGTTGATTCTGACGATTTTCTGTGCAAACTCGACTCGGCTGACGTTCGTTTAATGGATGATAATAGTTTAAAATAGTTTTAATAATTAATAACACTGTTGGCGGTGTATTATGGTCTTCATAAGTGCAAATCTAAAGGCGTTCTTAGGGCGCTATTTTGAATTATAGAGCAAACTAATATCGGTACTAATAAAATAGGCACCTATAATAATATTATCATCATAATGAATAATATATTTTGTTTTTATTTGTTTTCAGTTTAACAAATAAGCTTCAGAGTGAACATTCGCCATTACGAAAAGAATACATTTTTTTGGATCATGTAAGTTACGTTGTAATATATTTCATACAGTCCTTATTTTATCATCCCTATACTAGGTTTTTTCCGGTTAATCCTTTCACCTAGCAACCGACTAATGGTTTTTTAAATTGCAACCCATCCATAAAATATGTCAAATATACATTTTATACTATATATGTGTATATATAATTTAACAGTCTGAAGTAGAAAATATTACTGAGCGAATATTTCACATATCTAACTCAAATATTATATATATTAATTACTTAATTTAATGATGAGACGAGTCCGTGCACAACGCAGTTATTACAAGGCATATGTTTATTATGATCAGGATCGATCAATGATATTTATGCGGACGATTATCGCTGTTTTATTTTCAGCGGAGACCAATGTACCTATGTATATGCTGTAAAGTTAACAGTACCCAAATCAGCTATGTTTTTATAAATTATAATTTGCGTAGGTATTAGCGGGGAAATAATAATGTTTGCTTATTTGGCTCGTCTGTCCACTATTGCATACAAGTACACATAAACGTCCCAATGTGTTACAAAATTGTCATCAATTAAATTGTTATGCTTTTTGAGTTTATTAAAAAAAAAATGTATACTGCACAAACACCGTAATTGAATACATTTTGTTATTCACTGAAAACGTTTTAAAAAAACGTTGAGGTCGCTGCAGCGTTAGCCGAACTAAACGTAGGTAGGCAATGACCAATGATTATAATATTATGGTTTTCAGTAAATATTTAATACATATACACTGAATAGGTAAAGGGGAAAAAAATAAGATTTTCGTTAAATTTTTTTTATTTAAATTTAAATTTTTTATAGTGACTAGTAGTATAACATATTTTGCGTGTGGTCTCTTTTTTGTAAAACTGTTTACCGTGATTTGATGTATGGCTCTCATTCGGCCAATATTATCACTGCCGCTCAGCTATAAAATATATAATAAGTATAGTTTTATAAGTACCTATAAATATATTTGCACTCGGTGAATTATTTCATTATTTTATTATTATTTCCACTCGCGCTTCGACGAGCAAATAATTTCCAATAAAATAATATCAAGTATTCCTGCGTTCAGGCGTTTTGATTTTCCAATCAGCGACTTTCGTCGTTATCGACAGATCGAAAACCTCTACCGAGATTCGTCGGCACTGCTCTTACATAATATTATATGTGTACACGCAAAGTGTACGATATATTATTTACTATATCTTGCTTTAATTTTGCAAAGGAACGAGTATTTAATAATTCGAGCGTTGTTCGTCGATACGCATAAATGTACAAAAAAGACTTCCGATATATTACAATATGAATATAATATGAAAATTCTAACCGACTGCACCACTGAAAAAAACGAGTGATCGGGGAAACGGACGTAGTGGCAAGTGGGTGTAAGCTCCATTAGCGACGTTAACGATTGGCACCGCTCTGGTAGAAGTATATAATACATGTGTGTATAATATGCGGTAGTAGCGGTTAACCGGCGTTGCGATAAGACTTCGCAGCGACTCGCGGCTGTAACATAAATTGTGTACTGTGTAGGTATAGGTACCGCGATGTCGATGGGAAAAAAACATGCTAAGTACCCGAGGTTGGTGGTTGTATATAAAATATAATAAAATGTATAGATATATAATATATACGTGTCCTGCTCGTCGTAAACGAGGCAAAAATATAACGAAAAATAAACGTATTTTTATCGAACAAGTGTTAAAAATAACAGCCACGGTACGAGCGTGTGTGTGAGTGATTGGATGGGTGGGTGTGTATGTGTGCTGCGCGACGTGTACCTATATATTATATTATTGGAATATTATGTTATTTTATACATATTATACATACCGGGTGATTTATTTAACGTAGGACACTGATTATTTTAATAATTATCAAAATTGTTGATCATTTACATTATAGATAACATTAAGTAGCTTAAAAAAAAATTATTTTTAGTTTCTTAAATTATTACGTGCATTTCTAATTACTTATTCCAAAACTGATTAGTTAAAAAAATGAATCTAAAAATCAAATTTTTAACAGTACTTATTATTATTGTAAGTTATAAAACTTTATATATTTTTTAAGTTATAATCAAAAATCTAATTGTCCGACATTCGAGTTTTATAGACCGAAAAACTCCGAATAATATTATCTACAAAAAAAAAATGAAATGAAATATGTATAATAGTTTTGTCATTCAAAGAGTAAACATTTATAACGATAAAAGATAGTAACACTTTTAGTAATGACTTAAAAATATGTAAAAAAATATTTTCGAAACCTTATGCGTTGCTTAAAATAAAAATCGTCTAAAGTTAAACGGGTCACCACTTTTATATAATATAATTATGAGCGTTAGGTATAGGTACGATAATAATAACAAACAGTTTCTGGTAGCATGTCGCATCGACATACCCACAGAGTGTTGATTGCTAATATATACCTACCCATATAATATACAATTATGTACATGTATATAAGAACGAATGCCGTAGATGTAAATTAGTTAAATCTATGCATAATAATATTATTATACTATATAATATACAAATAAATACCTACCCTAAATTCGCAAGTACCTACGGATTACGGAGGGATTTATTTAAGTGGTCGTGACTAATAATAATTTTCCTGTATATATTTGTATTTAAATAAAACATTCAGACAGATGCGTGTTCCGCTTCGGATTATGCAATTAAAAATGTATAGGTCGATACGCCGGCGATGGAAAATTATTAAACCACACACACGGTACAGGTGGTTTGGTATTATGGTTAGTGCCTATGTATAATCGTATATGATATTATGGGCAACGTGCGACGTGTACGTCTGTAAATTATTCTACCACATTTAATATGCAATACGATTTCCCTGTCGTACGGAGTAATGTTACAAGTTAAGTTATATCATATAATACTGCGCGCGTGTGTATGTGTGTGTATGTGTGTGTGCTGTGGCGTTCGGATGGCGGAAATTACGGTGGCTTGGATTATTCGGCGGCCGCAAACAAATGCGAAACGAATACGAAATAATTATATTCAAACGTCAGCGAAACATGCAGATCGTTTGAAATCACGAAATTAACAGTTATTCGTATATACATTTACTTAGCTAGCTGATATACCTACTTATTGTACGTATACACTCCAGAAAATACCAAGAAAATACTGTAATATATATATTATGTACAGGGCGTATCAGTGGGTTTTGCGCCGAACGTCACGTCTGAACGTGTTGGACGTCCGAGACGCACTCTGTATACTATATTATTATTATTATTATTATTATAAAGATAGGTTCTCCTGACGCGTTTTCATATTATTATAATGTCGTTTCGCACGTGCTGTCAAAACTTTGACCATTACACCGAGGCAGGATGACAGGATGATCGTATAATATTATACGTACTCTGTACTGACTATATGGAGACTACAACGCTCCGTAATAACGACACGTAGCGGCCATCGACGAAACTGTATCCCAATACCTAATCAGGAGTGTGCCCGTGCACATCGCACTGCAACAGCTGCAGTGTCGGATCATATAATGTCTGGTAAATTTCTTCTAAGTTCACCTGTTGTCGTATCGTCGGGTAATAATTATGATTATCATCATCATCCAGTTATCACGAACGATCAAGGGGGACTATCGAGTCGTTGGCGCTCCAGTCGGTATATGCAGCGTATATGGGTATTACTTATTTCTGTTATCTGTAAATATGTATTTGTCCTCCCATAACACTTGCTTTAATATTGTAACATTAATAGGATTTTTATTTCGTAAATACGAAATATCTTCGAAACTTAAATAATAAAATAACGTCAAATGAAAATCTTATTTGGGATATAAAATAATTGTATGTTAACCAAACTTACGACTGCGCAGCTCCTCTCTACTCATGACATTCGTAGTGAAGAATACTAACTACTATCGACAACTTCGTTTTTGTTTTAATAAAATTAACGTAATTTGGATTTTTACTGTGGTGCACAGCAAAGTATAACATAATATAACTATAATACGAGCTCTCAGTCCGTAAAAAAAATAAAGTAAATAATAACAGAAGAGTGTAATAAACTTCAACTATAGTTGTTTTTTATTTTCATCCAATGTGTGGACTACATGATAATATGGCAACAACATAATTTTACAAGATGTTAAAAATGAGTTATACAATCATATTTTTTAATTATATTTAGGTACCTAATGAAAGTTTCAATAATCCAGCGAATATGTTTTATGCATGTTTGGTTATTGTTAGTTACCAGCTTAAATCATAGTTCTTGAGTTTTGTAGAGCTAAGCTAAGCCTCTCAATTTATATATATATATATATATTTAAGTACGGTGTAAAGAGATCCCTACGCGGCTACGCCGGGCCCTGTTATATATAACGTGTATAATAATTACTACAGCGGTTTGATGATAGAGAGGCCTAGGATTTAAATGATGTAAATGATGTATATATTTAATTTTGTTTACATTTGCTAATATTTGCTTTAAAAATATAATAAAATATAGGTAGTAGGTACTTACAGTGGATTTACTAATTAATTTTAATATATTATTAAATGAAAGAGAAACATCTTAAAACAAATTCAATTAAATTACATCTTATATAAAAGCTAAATTATTTTTGTTAGTTACACTTTTAAATAAATTCATATAATTTAAAAACATTTTTATAATAGATACAATTACTGGTTTTGTGAAATTTAAATTAGGAGGGTAATATTAAGTATAATTTTTCCCAGTACACTACTTTCGTTTAAATATACTACAAATATGCTATAATATGCAATATATTAAAATGCAATATAAAAAAGTAGGCAGCCACTCCGATGAAGAGCGTGAGTCGTTTGTATCTTGTCATTGAGTAGGTCACTGTAATGGATGTATTATAATTTGAATTTAATGATAATAATTTCTAAATACGAAAAGCGATTCTGATCCTTGACAATCACTCTATAAATTATTAGTATGTAATACTTACTAAGTATATTTATCATAATATATTTATATTTATTTTCTTTGCTACTATAGAAATGTATTTTACTATTGGTATTATGTTGTAATGTATAAACTTTACATCGCTTAAAATTGATCTAAATATTTTGAAATATAGTCAAATATATTAATAAACGTAAAAATGTCAAGTCCCCACGAATGATCATTTATAAGTTTATAACTAAATAACTAAAAACTTAAAATGTTTATGAAAATATTGAAAATTTATATTTTTGGGTTTTAAGAATAACTACTCGAGGAACTTTATATTCAATTGTAAGCTTTTAACCAACACTTAAAAAAAAATTGATATTTAAAATGGCTATAATAATTAGTCTAAATATTTTGAAAACTTAATTTAGTATAGAAAATTATAATTTAAGTGACAGCGTAATGTTTAAGTTTTTTCTATGAATAATTTCTGAATAATAACATTAAAAATAACTAAATTCGTTTGATAAGAAATCGTGATTCTATACCCCATGGAAAAATATTTGCTGATTAAATTAATTTTATTTTTATCATTCTAGTAACAAAAATGTATACAGAACCTTTAATTAAAATTTCAAACTTAAGGTATGAATATTAAACATTTTATATAAATCAATACTATAAAATAATTTTGCACATTTTTGGGAAGATGAATTTCGTACAAATTTGAACTTTAATGCTTATAAAGAAATATTGTGATAATATTTTTTTATGTTTAAGTTTATTTGGCATATACACAACTTATGAGGAACCTTCTGTACTTTCAAGCTTTTTACCATAAGATATCAATATTGTATTGATTGGGAAATAGGAAAAAAAGTCGAACATTTAAAATACCAATAAATAATACAAGCCTAAATATTTGTAAAAATTATTTTATGTCCAGTAAATAAATGGTTTTATACAATAAAATTCAATGAAAATTTCCAATCTCCGAAATTATTCATTTTTAGCTTCCAACTAAAGCACAAGATCTATTTTGTCAAAAACTAGTCGTTATGCTTAAAAACTAAAAATCGCTAAGCTCAAAATCAATAAGTAGATCATAATATTTTATATCAATATGAGACGATTCGGGGAGGTAACTAACCAAGTATGGGTTAGTTACCCATAATACATTGTATGAAAAATGGGTGCTTAAAAATAAACATACCAATGATAATAATATATTATTAACCCTAGTCCTAATTATGAAATAATTTTATGACTGCGACGCATGCACGAGTACTCACTCAGGTGGTTTGTCGGCGTCGCCCTTCTATCGTAGTTTTTCTTCAGCAGACTATCTAGTATCTGGAGATGATTCATTTTTGCACCGTACCTGAGAATAGCACAAAACAATCGGTTGGTAAATTCTAATGTATATGATGGTATTATTGATGTTATCAATTTTATTGATTTATTGATAGTTATTGAGTTAATCATGTATGACATATTAAATCATATATATTTTTCGGACAAGAAATTCGCTGTTGCCGAAGTGGCACTGTTTCTCCGACTTAACATAGATCTAAACATCTAAAAAAGTTCTACTTTAAAACTCGGTGAAACTCTGTTTCTTCGCCCCATCACTCTAAGTGAGCTCGTAAAATCGTTATAGCGCACGGCTCGTACAAATTAAAAGAAAACGTATTTTCAAAAATAATAATATATTTTATATCATAACAATACCATTGTCGTCGATGTTGGTGTCATCCCTGGGCGGAGAATTTAAAATCAAAATCTCGTTCGGACTGTAAAGTCAGTATAAAGACGAACACTCACACACCTTATTAATAATATAACTCGTGAACACGCGGCGTCTCGTGTATGCAATTTAACGGCATGCGCTCGCTCTCGGAAGCATACAATATTATTATTATTATTTTGTGTTTGTGCTCGCGCCGTGTATAATATTATTATCGTAGACGTAGCAAAAATTTGTTCTTTGGCAAAACATCTCGGGTATTTTTAAGAACGTAAAATGACGTTATTATATTTGTTATGGAACCGCGAAATTTAATTTGTTCAACGTCGTTTAACTTTCCGTGAATACGTTTCTTTTACCTCTCCGGTAGGTATAAGAGGTTATATGCGTACACAATATTATTATAATAATGTGATACATTTTACAGTGTATAATATTATGTACCCAGTGCACTATGATATAATATTGTTATATAATATTATAATCGCAGTACCTCTGAGCCGGTATAATAATATGCTTACATTATACCATCAATTTCCCAACGCCCATAATACGCTACACTGTCGTATTATTATTGTTATTATAAACGTCGTCAAACGATATATTTTATTGTAAATACAATTCCACATAATGTCAACAGCCGAAGAATAAACATGTACTTAGCGTGTTGGGAACAATCGACCGGGTGACACTATTTTATAAAAACGCGTCTGAGCCAGAAATATTATATAAATAAATATTACAATTATGAATAAATAATGTCAATTTTATTCATAATAATGTGATGCGCGATTATTTTATAATAATTAAAAACTAATGTCCACTGCTTACAACTCACTGAATATTATTTAAAAATATTTAATTATTTTTAAATAAGTTCAAATGTATGTATTGATTAACTGTTGAGTTTTCTTTGTTTTTCCAATTTCTAATTATATAGCACGCATATACAATTGATTTATGTTATCATAAATTAATGTTTATATAAGGAGGGGTGGGGGAAAAATAGCTTCAGAGGCGGAAAATCTTGAATACCAGCTGCATTAGTTCAGAAAATATTAGGTAAACGCGAACAATTATTAGTTTGGAAAATGTCAAACTGTTTTTAGTTTTATTGCACGGCCGAGTATGACATAGTTGTTATTATTATAATTATTATTTATTTATTAGTTTTAACAATGATACATAATCATAATAATATTATACTACTGCAACAGTTTAAGATAATAGTGTATAATATATTCTCGGCGACGCCTACGCCAAGAAATATTATTATAAAATATAAATACGAAAAATTTCGTTTATGGTTTTACAAAAACTTGTTCTGCGTATACAAGTTATATGCCACAGCATTTAACTTACCAGTTATTTACTTGTGTAACGTAAGTAAATAAAAAATTAAAACTCGAATTTAGTATTTTTCTGTGACTATTCATGACATTTTCTCCTCTTTCTTTGAAAAATTAAATTACAACGTTGATTTCGCGTTTATAGGTGAATCCCTTCTGATAATCTTCTATATTCCACAAGTCGTACAAATAGAATTATTTCTGTTTTATATTTGAGTGGCTGACCTTTGAATTTGGTTTCTCCTCTGCAGAGTGTTTGTTTAAGAACTTTGCCGCTTCCTTTGTTTGAATTGCACAAAAAAAGATGTCAACCACGTAAATAATTGGATTAAAAAGGAACTACAAAAAAAAAAACCATCTTGATCAAAACGAGTACTGTCCTATTTATATCACCCAATGACACACTCTCTTTCTTCAAATTTCCTTCTAATCATATTTACTGTGGACTAAATGGAAAAGTATATATATTTTTTTTATTAGATTTTCCATTTATCACTTTTAAAATAATTGTTTCCATTTGGACGTAGTCACTCAAACTAAAAATAAAATTGGGCAAATATTGATTGATCGAAGTAAAATGTGTCCTTCTAAGTCTTCTGATAGATTTAATACTCTAAGTATTTCATTTTTCCAACTAAATTTAATCAACATACATTTTTACTCTCAATCTTCAAAACACAAGAATGTATATATTTTTTTTTTTTTTTTTTTTTTAATTGATCCTGAGCCCGGCAACTGAGGCCATTAGCTATTAGTAGGTACTGTAGGTTTTTTTGTATTGATGGTTTGTAGGTTTTTGGAACGGTAGGGGGAACACGTGTGTGTTTGTTTTGGCAGAATTTCGAATGGGGCACCCGTAGGTTTCTGCCATGCCCCGGGGGTGGGGGATGTATATTATATTTCTATCGAGTTTTAAAACATTGTATTCGTATGGTGGGGGAACATTTCATGATAATACGAAACGTTTAAAGATAACGATAATACTATTCTATATTAAAACAAAATCTGATAAATTGTTATCCTTAACATTTTATTTATTATCATATATTATATGTATCATATAGGTACCTTCTACATATATACGTTATCCACAATTTCGGGTTCCCAACTTTCATGGTGACTGGTGACTTTCCAACGCTGTATAATATTTACTCACAATGTATACAAATGTTGGGAACCCGACCTTGTCCATAATATATGTTTTTACTTTATATTATTTCTAAGTGTTGATATATACCAACATGGAATATTTAAAAATATATAAACAATATCTACACATTATTGTTTTTGTACTTGTAACTTAAATAAATTTATATACATTATTTATAGTTCAACCAAAAGAATATTATTTCATCTATAATAATCGCATCATAATATAAGTAAAAACTAATACATGTATGCAACGGACCGTTAAATTAAACATGTGAAATGGTTCAGGTCAAAGTATTTTTCATAGATTACCAAACTATCAATAGAATATTTATTTTATTTTATTTTCACCATAATATATGTATATATGTGAATTTTTTTGTTTGCTTACTGTTGACAAACTTATTTATATATATTTATTGCATTGCACACAGTGTATATGTTGAAAAATAATAATAAACGTACACATAATATTATGAATACCTAAATAAAATATTTTTTTTTTCAGTGTCTCTGAAGTTTGATATTAATTGAAGAACCTGGATTCTGATGTAAGTCGATAAAAAAAAAGTGCCTTTACCGGAAATCTAGGAGAAGGACTCATAAAATATAGCCTTGACCTGTGTTCCTGACATAGGTCCTTGGGTGAATTAATGGCACGGATCCTCGTGTCGAGCTTTTAGGGGTCCATAGACAAATTCAAAATGGCGGTCATCTTACCTTGGATACCATACATTGAAGATCGGACCGATTTATAATCATACATTTCGATTTTGTTTTGACCATGAGTTATCGCGATTCCAAAGACGAAAAATCTAATATAATCCATTATGGATCCAATGCACTATAAAATAATGAAATACTCAAACACGTTTACCTTTATAGGCGTCTATATAAGTCTGTAAGAAAATACCTATTATAAATTCAAAGAAATCAGGATTTTTATCATATATTATGTTGATTAGTGTGTAATATTATATTGACATTTAACAGTCGTATTTAAAATATCTTTCTTCAGATATAGACTTCCTTAATATTTTATGTTCTGCATATTCATAAGAATAATCATAACTGGTCTAATAATATTTATATATTATTGTAAATATTTACTTATTTTCAGCATCAGAAAAAATAACATTTTTTTTAAAAATGTATTTCAGATTAAATTTTAATTAGTTTTTAAAGAAAAAATATATTATAAAGAAATGCCGATGATTAATTTACTATATAAATAAGAAAATTTTACTACTATCCTACTTTATAATATAATATTATGAAAAATTAATTAAAATTGTTAGTTATAATGCATTTTATTATTCTAGAAAGCATCTACATCAAAGCCGGATTAAAGGTTGAGCAGTGGAGGTTTCTTGGTAAGTTTCAAAAAAAAGTCAAAACGTTTTAACATTAATTTTCTATACTTTAAAAAAAATAATTAACAATGAAGCATTTGAATGCTTTTGACGTATTATATATTTTTAAGTATTCTTAAAATGTCATGTACACTTTATACTATATACCAGTTTACCACACATATAGGATTTTTTGTCTATGTTGTCCAATCGAGGTACATTTGATTAAGTTAAACATACTATTATAATTTATAATACCATAATGCTGTATAACGTTAAACATATTTTTAAATTTTCATGGCAGATCCTTTAGTTGCTGTGCAGATGTCTCTTAGGTTTGGTTATAATCCATGCAACCATTTCCAAATCAATCCTACAAGGATGGGGGGGGGGATTAGTTTGAAAATTGAAATAAGCTATATAATACACTTTTGTGCTTATTTTTCTTATTTATTAATATTAACTGATACACCCCTACCTAAAACTTTTACAATATTAAAAAAAATTTGTTTTTATAGAACAGGAATTCAGCAAGTCCTGATTAGTGTTAAAATAACTTATTTTTTCCCACATTTTAATTTTTTTTTTTATACTTATATTATCAGCTATTAATTATCTTTAAGTTGGGGCACAATTAGTGTTGTTTTCAAGAACTATTAGGTGATCACTCATTGGTCGATTATTTATTGTTTTAAGTTTATTAGTAAATAATTAGGATAAAATGCATAGTCGAGGCTGGTCGAGGTTGCCGTTGGGATTGTGGAAGCTTTTCCATCTCTCTTCTAAACCGTTATAAATTTATTTTACCATTAGGTACACTCTTTCGACGCGAAGGTGGAAAATATATTTTTTTTTTGCAGAATACCTTAATCCTCCAGCTACAGTCTACATACTCTACATACCAACGAAATGAAACAGGACAGAATAAATTCTCATCGTGATGATTTAAAAAATATTCAAATTTACCCTCGGAGGACATACTTTTACTGTTATTAATTGAATAATTATTATAATTCCCCAATACTATTATAATTTAATGATTCAGCCGATATAATTTATTTGTTTAAATATGAACGAAATATTAGTGGTAAAAAAAATGATTTACCTACTTTCATCATTTCGTAGGTAATAATATTTCTGAAAGTATAATTAACATCGATTTCAATTAAACTAACCAAACTGCATAACCATCTATATCAGCAGTTGTTCATGTAATTGTTAGTTACAGAATTTGTGACCAATGCATTGTTAAAAATAATCCCAATTCTCCATAGAAAACCTATACATAACGTATTGAAAATCATTTCAATGAAGCTGTATAAAATAAACTATCATTTTTTTTCCTAGAACTTCACAGGAACAAAAAAGAATTTCGTTTTATAAATCCATTTTACTTAAAAAGTTTGTTTGTCGATATTCGATACACCTTAAAATGCAAGACTTGAATTTTAGTTTGTTTTTTTAATCAATCAGCGTGGACATTTTTTTTCATGTACATTTGTTAAATATTAAATGTAAAAATTGAGTACTTTTTAATATATACGCGCACACTTCGAAGAATACTCTTAACAACATTTAGTCACACAGATAGATAATAACTTTCCGGAAAACACGAACTCAATTAAGTCAATTGTTTGGTAGCCCAAATAGAAAATTAGAATAAAATAATATTTTTTCAATACAAGACAATATTTTTTCGATGTTTTGTATAGCTGTATGTATAATATTTATTATGCTTATTGAAACGGATAGTAATTCATAAATATTCAGTAGTAAGACAATTTATTTTTGAAACATTTTCTACATTTCCAACAATGAAATAACCAAACTCTGTAATAAGTTTTGTCACTAAAAGTAAAAATCCGTTTATAGAAATATGTTATGAATTTTTATTTTTTTAACTGTAATATAATATCTTATACAACACATTTCTGGTTTCACAGAAGTATTTATAAAAACAAATACGTTGAATTATTTGGTAGTTTTTACATTTTATTGGTGGGTAAAACAATGGTGTAAAACATGATAGTATTTTTTTTATCTACCCCAGTCATATTATAATATTATGTAATAGCTATAATAAAATGTACTACTGTAGATATTTATAGTCTGATGAATAAAACTGAGCATTATTAACTCAATATCTCACTAAATATAATGGATTATTTGAACATATTATATATTATTTACATTTTAAGTGATAATTTATGGTTTGTTTAATATTGAAAATATCAACCTGTCTTTATCAAAGTTAGGTTAGGTTAGGTTAGGTTATAACTTAGTTTGAAATTTAAAAAAAAAAATATTTTTGAGCTAATTTACCAAAAAATAACTATACAATGCTCTAGCTTCGAATATAGTATCTTATATTTATTATAGTTATCAAGAATTATGCGTCAATCTGTTATAGTTAGTATAGTTGGAAAATGTAAATACATTCATATGATCGTCGGACGTAGTAAGACCACAAACTCAGTCAATAACCTAATGCAGATCCGATAGTTGACAAATTCTGAACAGAGATGAACTCACAACTGAAGAGTACATTATTGTTTGATGAATTACAGTTGTTAGTAGGTATTGCAATATTGAACCGACTTTAGTTGGAGGTACCGTCTCATCGAATGCCGCATTATTTTCATAAGTCCATGACTCATGACACAACTGTCAATAATGGTTCAAGATATTGAAACAAACTTTTGGAAGAATTATGTCCAACCCCAAAGAATTAAAGTACCTATTGTATGAGAATATAATATCATGATTCTCTGGCGAAGAATATTTATGGTTTCAATATTTTTCAGTAGGTAAGTGTTTAAAAACTAACGAATGTACGAAAAATCTCAATAAATGTGTGATTTATAGAACTTTAATGTGATATATTATAAGGCATAAATCAATGTTAAAGTTTTGCTATAAAATATTATTTCGTTCACAACAGTAATTATTATTTATATATCAAAAAAAATATTTCAGGAAAAAATTAGATGCAACAAAACTTTGACTTTTAAAGAAGATTATGGCAATCGATATATTGGTCTTAAAGTTATTCTGAAGTTAAGGTATGATAGTATCTAGCTCACATATTATAATTTAATTTAAAGTGATTTTAATTTTCAAAGATAACCTAAGGTATACCTTCCTTAAATATTTATATTTTAATCTTCATGTTTATGCGTGGAACACTTTCGGTTGGATTTATACGTTGTTCGTATAAACATTTATAGTGTAATAAAATAATTCAAATGTATTCTCAAGGCTCACAAGTCACAATCAGTATAATTGTAATTACCAGTACAGTTTCGACCAACATTTGAGCACGATTTGTAAGAGCGTAATTCCATATAATTAGTCACAAAACTCTGTAGTATACTCACAACAATGTATCAGAAGTTCAAACATCAAAAACAAAACTGTTTGGCTTAAACAGTCGAAAATGCGATTTTGACGAGTGTTTGATGCATTCTATTATACAGGATAATTAATTGTCAAGCATACTCACCACTTTTTTGTGAGTGTGTTGGTACACCCGAGTCGAAATTCAAATAAGCAGTTTATGAATTATTATACTTTATGTTTAAAGGATAGGTAATAATTGTAACATTTCACAATTTTTGTAGCCCCAATAGGCTATAACATATCTTATAAGCCAATTATATCATGGGTTATTATTCTAAGTACCTACATAAATATTAATGACTCAGAAACTGCTCATTTAAATTTAGATTACAACACATAAAATTGTACGAAACAACCACGTCATGTGCTTAATAATGTTTTGTAAAAAAAGGCAGTGCTCATGCATTTGAAAAAAATTATTTTGTATCTCCACGACACACTCCTAGAATGGTATAATAAACCTTAAGTATCTATAAAAATATGGTATTGAAGTATGTGTATTTAAAATGTCCAAAAATAATCAGAGTTCAAATAAATATACAACTAAAAAAGAATTAATGATGGTGAGCAGTGGCGTATATACGAATTATTTTCACTATGGGCCGATTTATCAATTATCACTAGTCAAGCAGCATAGCCATAATTATACATTTTTAAGGGAGCAGCTGTTATATAATTAAGAATTATGACATATTATACAGTTCAAATAAAAATTGCGCAATTCAATTTTATAATTATTATGTAAAATTAATTTTTTGTTTCTTTTTTTAAAAATATTGACAGTGTCGTTTGTATATTTT